GCAGGTTCTTGCTCACTGCCTCTCTTCCCCTCTCCAGGCAGGATGAGAATCAGAAGAATATAAACCCCACAGTCCAATAACTAAAGTACACTATAATACTAATACTACCAGTAACAATAATAATGGAAATAACAAGGAGAGAGGTATAAAACTAAAAGGGAAGAGGAAAAGTGCCTACCACCTGCTGACTGATACCCAGCCCACCCCCAAGTAGCGACCAGTGACTCCTGGCCAGCTCGCCCCAGTTTCTAAAGTGGGCATGATGACATGGTTTGTTAAGAAGTATGGGTAGTTTGGGTCAGGTGTCCTGTCTCTGCTGCCTCCCCACCTCTCATGCCCCTCCTCACTGGCAGAGCATGAGACATGAAAAGTCCTTGATCAGGATAAGAGCTACTGAGCAGCAACTAAGACATCAGTGTGTTGTCAGCATTGTTCTTAGACTAAAGCCAAAATACAGCAGTGTACTGGCTGCTAGGAAGAATAATAACTATATCCCAGACAAAACCAGGACAGGAAGGAAGGTTGCATGGTACTTAGTTGCTGACTGGGCTTAAACCACAACAACTTGTTGTAAGGGATAGGGATACTAAAAATTCATAGAAAATATGTTGGAAGCACTCAAAAGTTATTAATTAAGTAAAGAGGAAATTCTAGCAAATTTATTTTGCTAGAAATTTGGTTATTTCTTCATTTAATTGTTGATTAATTTTGGAGCAGATAACAGGGATATGGGAGCTCATTTGCCAGTGCAGTTCACCAGCATGATGCCTCTCTACACAAAGGGCAGGAAGGCAGACCCCAGAAACTACAGGCCTGTCAGCCTGACTTCAGTGCTGGAGAAGGTCATGAAGCAGATGATCCTAAGTGAGACCATAAAGCTGATGTGGGAAAACGAAGGGATCAGGCCCAGCCAGCATGGTTCCTGCTGGACCAACCTGATCTCCTTCTGCAGCAAGGTGCCCTGCCTGGTTGATGAGGGAAAGGCTGTGGACGTTGTCTATTTGGATTTAAGTAAAACATTTGACACTCTCCCACAGCGTTCTCCTGGAGAAACTGGCTGCTCATGGCCTGGATAGGAGGATTCTTCGCTGGGTTGGAAGCTGGCTGGAAAGCTGAGCCCAAAAAGTGAGGGTAAATGGTGTCACATTGAGTTGGCAGTGGGTCACTAGTGGTGTCCCTCAGGGCTTGGTGTTAGGACCAGTGTTGTTTAACATCTTTATTGATGATCTGGATGGGGGATTGAGTGCACCCTCAGTAAATTTGCAGGTAACACCAAGGTGGCTGGGAGTGTTGTCTGCTGGAGGATAGGAAGGCTCTGCAGAGGGATCTGGACCGTCCTACCTGTCTCAGCTTTTTTCCCTGGCTCCACTCTTCATATATCCTGTGCTTTGGTCCTTCCAACAGCACCTTGCTCTCCCTAACCTCTGCTGTGTAGAGCTTTTCATTTCCCTGGGCAAAGACACCTCAGTTTCCATCATTTCAGATTTTTATCCCCAAAAATCCTTTGTATTTCTCATTTCAGCATGGGAAACTTTTATCTGTAGTATTGCTTTAACCACCCGCTTTAAAAATAGTGCAAAACCTATGCATTCTAAATTCTTCATGTTGAGTAAATAGGAGCCTTTTCCTCTTCCTTCTCTTTATTCCAGCTTTCTCCTCACCTTTGGTTAAAAGATTCTGATGATTCTTTTTATGTTTTTTTTTTTTTTTTTAGTTAAGATTTTATTGTGTTGCTATATGTACAGTTCACAGCTTATTTCAAAGCAGCTAGGACAGATACAAAATACTGTTCAAGATTTGTACAGGACATGAGAGGAATGATCAAGCTGGCTATTGCTAAATTACATACACTCATAGTCTAAACTGACTCACTGGGGGAAAGTAATAGCAAGACAATTACTGACTTTACAGAAGAAAGCATACTAACAGTATCCCTCATTAAACAGGCTGCAACAGCTGTAAAAAAGAACTTTGTCTTCATGAACATTCAGTTATTACAAATGTAAAAGGGACTAGAAAATAGAATTGTAAAAAATACAATTCAATATTTTTCCAAGAGTCTCATGAAAATTTAGGAGCAAGAGCAACAGTGAAGAAAAATCAACTGACGGAAGAATTTTTGCGTATCTTATGCTGGACGGGTTAATATACCAAGTGGTGAACAGGGAAAGAAGACGTGCTGAATAATGAGAACTGTATTCAGGACTGCTGAAATTAGAAATGTGTGTCTTTTTCTTTAGTACTTAATAAAATAGGCTTTTAATGGGGACATGAACACACACTTTTAGAATAGTGTCTGGTTTTATTTTCATAGAATTCCTTCTGTTGTTTAGCAAGCATATAAACTAATTTTATGTCAAACTCAGTAGCACAAGAAACAACACAGGCAGAGAAGCTTTTACTGACAGTCCTGAAAGAAAAGAAAACAAAAAATCTCTATGTCAAACAGAGATAGATAGACAAGTTAAAACTTAGAGAAAGACAAATTTATAGGATAGCAAGTAGTCAATCTTCTGGATTTTGGCTTCTAGACAGCTGAAGCAACAAAACTATGAATTATTCTCTCTAAATATAATCTAGCAATTTAATGACAGCTTGAAACAGACTGATTAGATTTTGGGAAATAGATATATTCTGGATTTCCTAATTCAGGCTCACTCACAAATACAAACATGTTGGGAAACAAGTCACATCTTAGAAGTTACAGGCACCACTGATTTGGTTAGAAGCGGGGCAGCAGATAATGAAAAAACATACTGCCTCCCCAAACAAAGGGGTTTTAGTTTGAACCAGAGTAGTAACAAGACAGATTAGTTTGTTGCAGCCAGTAGTGTTTTATCTGTTAGGTAAGATGCTACAGTTATATGTGGTCACAAGCTTCACAGTTCTGAAAAAGTAGTATCGGTCCCATCCTGAACATACGGTATTTAAAAATTATTTTCAGAGGGGCTGCAAAAAAAACAAACAAAGCAAAGGTAGGACAAACAAATCAGTGAAGCTACAATGACTCCTAGTATTGTGAAATTTTAATAATTGTGGGCTATTAGCTGCAATGTCTAATTTCTTAGAAAAGTCTTCCGCTGTTCAGATCCTCACGGTGTTAGTTTTCAGAAGTCACTGCTAACTGCAACAGCCTTACAGATTCATAGTACCTTTATTGATAAAGAGTGTCCTGCTTTCCTCTCCTGCATCAAAGCAAAGTGGGGGGGTTTTGCACATACTTTGCTTTGGAAATTGCTTAGTGCTACAGTGTGTTCAAAACCAGACTCAGTTAAAAGTTGTCTATTTAGATCTACAGGTATTTTCCTTTGTCTGTTTTCGTTAGTCTCCTCTCTGGTTCTCTCCCTCCAACTTCAGTGTTTTCTGCTGATTTCCAAGGTAACTGATAGGGATTTTCTAATCTGTGTCTAGTCAGCCAGCTCCCACTCATACTTCTGTAATGTTCCACTTCAACAGCTATCCCAAAGAAAGTATGATCCCAGGATTTAGTGCTACATTCAGTGCAACACAAACATTTCTGCATTTTTAGAGCCATATTGCATTCACTGACAGTTGACATGGGACCAAAAAACAAGTTTGAGCTTTGTCTCTGAGCACAAGAGGAATTGTTTATTACTAGGCAAGCTCTAAAGAACAACACAGGGCACTTTTCAAAGCTAACAGGTAGGAAAGCTCTTTTTACATGGTAGTTGCATGTCAGCTGCTTTATTTTGCAGCTGAAACCTACATAGGCATGAAAAGGATACAGAATCTTAAGAGTCACAGAATGCTTCAGGTTTCAAAGCTCATCTGATTCCAAACCCCTGCCATGGGAAACCTTCCACTAGATAAGGTTGCTCAAAGCCCCGTCCAACCTGGCCTTGAACACTGCCAGGGATGGGGCAGCCACAGCTTCTCTGGGCAACCTGTGCCAGTGCCTCACCACCCTCACAGGTAAGAATTACTTCCTGCTATCTAATCTAAATCTACCCTCTTTCTGTTTAAAAGACTGTTGCCCCTTCGCCTGTCACTATAGACCCTTGTAAAAAGTCTTTATCTTATAAACGCCCTTAAATACTGAAAGGCCATAATAAGGTCTGCCCAGTGCTTTCTCCAGTCTGCACAAGCTCAAGCCTGTCAGCCTGTATTCATAGGAAAGAGGCTCCAGCCCTCCGATCATCTTCATGGGCCTCCTCTGGACTTGCTCGAGCACATCCAACATCCCTCTTGTGTTGGGGGCCACAGAGCTAGATACAGCACTGCAGGTGGGGTATCATGAGAGTGAAGTAGAGGGGCAGGATCACCTCCTTTGTCCTGCTGGTCATGCTCCTTTTGATGCAGCCCAGAACGCTGTTGGCTTTCTGGGCTGCAAGCGCACACTGCCAGGTCATGCCCAGCTTTTCATCCACCAACACTCCCAAGTCCTTCTCCTCAGGGCTGCTCTCAACCCCTTCATCCCCCAGCCTGTATTGATACTGGGGGTTGCCCTGACCCAGGTTGCAGGACCTTGCACTTGGCCTTGTTGAACCTCATGATTTCCAGTACAGGGGAGAGGACAGTGACTGCTGACTTTAAAAAAAAAACCAAACAAAACCACCCCAGATCTGTATTCAGCATCCGCAAGATGCTTTTGTATGAGCTGTCTCAGTTTCAGTTTAGACTTGGTGAAACTTTCATCGTTTGCTTACTAATGCATTTGGATCTTGACAGTCATTAAATGAAGTCTTGAGAAATTTTGTGAAAGCAAGAATTCAAACAGAGATGCAAGATTAAATTTTATTGAATGATGAAAAACTAATAGCATTACAGCTAGCTTCATCTCTGCTGGAATACTAGTTTTCCAATTTTCTGTAGCAGAAAGTGCAACAAATCAACTATTTATATTGTTAAACAAACTAGCAATTGTTTATTTCTCTTCAAAAACTGCATAGTTTAGCAGTTGTGCAACAAATATATAAATTTCTGCAAAACCCTGAAGAAAGATTTGATGTTTTGTGCTTTGAATCTGGTGGCAGAGGAGATCATCTGCACTGGTCAGATTCTGAGTGCTTTTTCCCTTTTTTCCCAGTCTGTAAGAAAAAATTAGAACAAATGGTTAGGTAATATACTAGACATGACACTTCCATCTGCAGTTATATTTTATATTAAAGTAGTATAAATTAACAAGAAAAAAAAACATCTGAAGTTGTATAATTTAACAAAGTATTCAAGTTATCATGGGATGCAGACTCATCTGGATGTGTAATATTGTTACATAAACTACAACAGTCCAGGTATTTACAGAATACACGTGTTAACATCTAAGGAGAAAAATATATTGATTTGTGTATTGGGGGTGGAGGGGAAGGCTGGCTTCTTGGTTTTTGTTTGTTGTTGTTTGTTTTTAATCCACAAATTTTGGTTACTGTTCTTTGAAAGGCATCCTTACGTTTCAAAGCATTATTCCGTAAAAAGTGTGCCTTATGTTGTCCAACACAATACCACAAAAAGTAACAATGTAAGAAAGGTTCTCCTGGTCAGCTTGCAAGATTATAGGAAAGAATACTAGAAGCAGCAATTCCTGCAAGGCAGATGAGTGTTCTCCTAAAACAAAACACGCACCCCTCAGTTAAAAAAATATAAACCCAACCAGCCAAACAGAAAACCCCAGGGCAATGAATTAAGCAAGAAACACAGCAAGATGTGAAAAAAATAAAATATATTGAACTGTGTGGGAGAGTGGAGGGCAGGAGAAACAGAACCACGTAACAGGTTATTTTTGCAGTCATTCCTAAGCATGTAACAAAGACCATTTTTTGTAAATTTTTTACTGTTATTCTTTAATCCTCTTCATTGCAATTAAACATCAAATAAATGTATCTTATTCAAACACTTCTATTTACACAGGCAAATACTTAATATTAGCAGAGGCATGGATGGGAGGGGAAAACAAACAGACTGTAGTTGTAAGTCAGTGATGTTAATGACTGAATTTGACAAGAGATTTACTTTAGTTTCAATTAGGGGTATGAGCACTCAGCTTGTCTGTAAGGGACTTAGCAAGCATATATATTGTCAACTGCTACAATAAAATTTTGAAAAGGAACTTGCTCACTTGTGGTAAAGTGACAAGGGGGAAAAGACAACAGAAAAAGACAAGAGATGACACACAGAACCCCATGTAATGCTAGCCGAAGAATTTGATGTAATCAGAAAAGATCTGTTGCTTCAGAAAGAGTAATTGCTACTTAATGAGACAGTTTTCACAAAATGGTAGTATTCCAACACAATATGTTGCAACTTGAAATAGCATAGCTTGCCAAAGACTAGGCAGCTACCTTGGAAGTTTCCATTGTATACAACAGGCTCTCCTTGGAACTTGTGCAGAAGGTCACAGTCAAACAAAAAACCCACCAAACCCAAACCCCCAAAACGTGTCAAGCCCTGCACAAGTACAAATCCTTATTTCCAAATACTGTCACCCTTAAAAAAACCTGTCAGAATGTTAAGCAGCATACTCTTTATGCAAAAGTTAACTGAAATTCACTAACATGAGTTGCATTAGCAGTAAGCAAGACAAAACAGCATACACCATCAGCAAGATGCTGATCTCATCACGTATGTTTCCACACAATTTGGTGCGAATCTCCTACAAAGATTTGTCTAGAGACAGAACTAAGATACAGAACCAAAGAATGTGGCAAAAAAGCCATTAAGTCTACAGTTAGTCCAGTTGCACAGTTAGACTTTGACAGTGCTATCAACTTGTTGCTTGAAGTGTATTTATTTACTAGCATACTTCAATATGTTTTGAAGTACAAAACAGGTGGTAGACTTCAACTTTCCAAAACTGTGCTTTAGACTTGTTGTTTGCTTTTTTTCCTACAATATGAACTGCATTTTTTGGTTTTTTTTTTAACTGGGAAAATTAGACGTAACAAGTCAGTTCAGAGCTTACTACCTCATGATAGCCTCAGCTATATCAAGAACAGGTAAACTTACGAACACAGAAACTACCTACCTGATATTTTGTTAATTCTGCCTGCAGTAGTTTCACTTTGGATCTTTCTTGCTCTAATGCTGCATGAAGTATAGTTACCTAAAAAGATAAAAAAATACTAGTTTCTAAAATATCCTTAATGTCTATTAGTTTATCAAGTCAATGCTGTTTTCCATTACTATTATGTTGTACAAACAGGTAATACAGAGTGATGACCACTATCATTGTGCATGAACTGAAAGTACAAGTAAAATATTCTTTAATGACTTCCACTTCCCAAGCAAAATTTACTGGTGCAATAATACAATAATACACCAGTACACCTTATTGCATAGTGATATAGAAAAGCTATAAAGTTTGAAATTCTTCTGACTTTTGGACTCTGCACTAGTTCATCCCATAAAACACTTAATGGATATAGTATTATGCAACACAAATAAGCTTATTACATCACCTTCAAAAACTACTGTATTATATGTAAGAATTTGGCTTAGAACTAATAGTTGCTGTGGACCAAAAATGAAGCATAAGAGTCTTGTATGCTCTCTCCTACAGTGAGTTGCCAATTGACATATCTTAAGTAATTTGTTGCTCCTTTGTGTTTGTAAACTTAAGACTAGAAATAAAAAAAATCCCCAACAAAACCAAACCAACCCATGACTGGGAAAGAAGCATCTTCTGAAGCACATTTCTGAGCTTCCTAGCTTGGGTTACCAGAGAATGGTATTCCTGAAGTGCTGTTCAAGGCAAAATCATTTTAGGCATGTTAGAGTCTGCTGTCTTTCCAGAAGCAGTTCTAAGTGAGTCATGCTGGAGATTTACGTAACACATGTCCTCTGACACACATAGTGCAGGGCCAGGGATGAAATGTAACATTTTTTGCTTCAAACAAGTTTTTGTTTCAGCTTTCTTCCTCCCCAGCTCTATTAACGGCTTAAATAATTAGCATCTTTGAAATACCCATGAAATTTTTACTTTAGAAATCTTTGCTTACCTGTACAGTCAATTCATTTTTTATAATTTGAGATTCATCAACCTGCAGGAGTATTTCTGCTTTGTCTTTCACTGCAGAGAGAGAAAGCTACAGCATGAGGATCTTTCCAGAATTACAGGTCTTCATGTGCAACAGCACTATGGCCTCACTTTATTTCACTATTTGGCTACCTCTAAATAATGCTGCCTTCACTAAAAGAATGGCAGATGTTGTAACACAAACCAAGCCATTTGCAACCAGTGCCATTAGTAGCAGCTTGAAAAGTTCTGGAGATTAACTCCCAACCTTGCACTACTTACTCCACAATTAACCCTGTAAGCAGCCTGAATTTTAGAGATACCTGCTGTGAATGAAAACTGAGTATTGACAATGGATCGAGATTTTGGCATCCCAAGTTTCACATATGAGCTCAATCATAGCTATGGAAACTTCTGTTTACTCAAATACAGAGATGTTTAATCTCTTTAGGTAGTGTGTGTGAAATATCTGTGGACAACTTAAAATTCTCAATATGAAGAAATTAAGTTTTTTCAAGGCTCCGTTCTGCCATGAAATACCTTCTCCTCAAAATACAAAATACTCAAGTCTTTAGAAAACCACAAAATTTCTCATTTTATAGTACGTTGCTATTCCATAAACAAAGAAAAAACCTTGAGAAAAATCAACACATGCACACAGGGGAACAGTATCTTTCCCTGCAAGATGAAAATATTTCACCTTGGCTGAGACACTGACCTGATGTGATATGGTTCCTAGTTAAAATCTGTAGAGTGAATCATCACATTATGAATATTTGAACTAGCCAAGACATAGTTTTTGTAAACATACTTTGAAGGAAAAACTTCAGCTCTTTTTTAGCTAATTTAAGTGAATTGAAAAATCTAATCTTGTAACAAAATTAATCTGGCCAGCATCATAGACTCAAACAACTTCATCAAGCAAGATTATGAATACTGAAGTATAACTATGCATAACAAGTATAGGATATTTATATATATACATGAGTGTCTACATATGTACACAAATATATCTTTCCTGAAACTTTGGCAACAAACTCTGAATAGTGTTATAACAGAGGCAAATTATCACAGTGACATAAATAACCCTGTGGTTTAGCTATCCCTATTAATTGTGTGGCTTGCGTGTAGAAGGGTGTTTCCAACAGCTGAAAGCACAGCTTGCATAGATATTAAGAACTGAACAGGTAAGATTTTTTTTGTTTTACTAGTGATAGCTAACTTGAATCATTGCACCTAAGCCGTAACTGGACAGCTTATATTTCAAAGAATCATCTCAACATTCAACTGATTATTTCATTATATAACAACAGAAATGCAGTAGTGTGTGGTCCACTGAACTCTGTAGTTCACTGGAGTAGCTGGAAATTAATAGCTTCTTAGTTCTTTATAGCTGTCACTGAGTCAAGTTCTTTTTAAAAATTGGCTTTGTAAATTCCTTCCGTGTTTTAAAAAGACATTTAACATTCCCTGATAAAACTCACTTACTTTCACCTTCTTGCATCATCTTCAGAAGCCGGGCATTTCTTCCTTTTACTTCTTTATACTTTGCCTGTATTAAAGAGATTGAATTATTACAGGTATACACTACAAAGTATTCTAAAAACTAAGCATGACTTACAGTCAGATTTAGAGTTTAAAATTACACCTTCTGCAGAGAATCTTATTAGAGAAACACAGAATCATAGAACCATTTAGGTTGGAGAAGACCTTTAAGATCATCTATGTCTTAATTAAGTCACAGCCAACGTAAGGAATACACAACAGGAGAAGTGGATATATAACTGAGAGCTGAGAAAAAAGGCAAGCACAAAGCTTAGAGCAAATTAAAATAATAAAGTTATGTCAATGCATTGATAGTGCAGGAACAACCATTCATGTCTGCCTCAAGTTTATAGGCCTGTTGCATTAAGGGCTTTCTCGTTTCTCCCCTGAAAAAATATAACAATTAAAATGCACTTTTCTAGATACCAAGGTAATATAAACAGTTTGCCACATTGCTTATCAAGTAGGACAAGATCCTAGTGCTCTACAGATTAGGTTTGGGGGTTTTTCTGTAGTTACTGTTCTTACATCACAGTTCCTTTCCTTTTCAATTCTTTACACTTTTCTGCTCAAGAACCTGTTTTTGGTGGCTTTTCCAATCTGACATCACTATATTTTCTAAACAAGTGAGTCATTACCTTAATTGGCCACCAGTGTCAGTTCTAGCCATGTACCTTAGCTGTAAAATTATTTTTCCTGTCACAAGTCTTCTCATACAGTTTGCTTAAAAAAAAAGTTTAATCTCATACATACTTTTTTCCTAATAAAGAAGCTACTATCTTCCACTTCAGAGTATCACACCAGTTCTTGAGGATAATTAGATTTAAGCCAGACCTTTCATGGCTACCTAAAACTGTATTCATGTCTCTGGAGAAGTTCATAAAATTAAACATCGTCCATCACCTCACCAGTATCCTTATGCACCGTGTTTATTCTGTCAAATGTGAACAAGTGCTGATAGTAGCAAATATGATTGGTTTTATGCTTTCAAATTTCACCTGGGGATTCCAACCTTAGTACATCGTCTGTAAACAGCTGTCATGTTTTTATTACAAGTACTTATTGGAAGCTTCAGAAAATTCCCAATCTGTCAGCCTGATCAGTCTATTTTAAACAATAAATAAAATTGGTTATAGAATATTTTGAAAATAATTCTATGATGCTTCACTGTATTTTGTTACAATGCCAGTTCCCTGTGGAAATTTTGCCCTTTTTTTTTCTAGATACTATCCAAACAATGCTAACATGGACTGCAAACAGGGAGGCAGACATTTTCCCTAGCTACTCCAATCTAGTGTAATTATACGTGTATTTATTAATGAACAAATTTTTATCTTCCTGCTATGTTTTAGCATACAGTGAATCAGATTTCCAGTTTCACTCGCATGTAATAGGAAAAGGTATAACAAAATACAGGACTCCATTCTTGTTGCACTGCAGCTTTAAAGAAATTCTCTTAAAGCTGACAAAATTTTCACTCATTTTTTTAAACAAATATTGGACTGAATCTAGAAAAAATCCCAATGATACGTAGTTCTTAAATGCAAGAAAAGCTAAGTAGAATAAATAGGTTGGGATAGACCCAAGAAGTCCAACTTCCTGCTCAAAGCAAAGCTAACTTCCAAGGCAGATCAGATTGCTCAAGATCTTGCCTAGTCTTAAATTACAACTTTATTTTTTTGACTATGAACACAGGAATCTTATAAAACATGCAGTGACTGATATGCTGGATATGAAGTTTATTTCTTGATAGTTTGTCTTGATTCTTATGATTATTTTTAGAAGCTTAACTTACTTATCAAGAAAGACCACTTCATTTGGTACTGAAGGAAATATCTGCATTGTAAATATGTAATCTGCAGCCAGTCTAAAGCACCTCTACAGATTAGTCACATTTTAATAAAGATTTTGTTTCAAATGAACAATAATTTTGAATTGTCTACTATTTGAAGGTATTATCAGCTACATACCTCCCACTGAGCTATTCTATTTTTCAGTTGCTCAATTTCTGCATCTTTCTTTTCAAGCTCGAGCTTTAGTCGCTCAGTTTTTCCATCTTTCAAAGCACTCTCCTATAAACAAGAAAACAGTATTTCTTAATAATCTAGTCATGTGAATTTGATTCTTGGGAAAGGCAACTTACTTGTTAGGGAATAGAATTTCTGATCAAAACTAAAAAGGTATTTGAATAGGTACCAAAAGGGTAAGAAACACAGTAATAAATATTGGCATGTTCTGTGGAGCAAATATTATTTCAATCACAAGTGTTTCATGTTAAAAAGAAATCAAGTAATTTAAATACCTCTTCATATAGATAAAAATATTACAGTGTTGTGTGTTTAATTCTTTAAGATTATCATGCTTTTGATGTGTGCTTTCTACTCAGGTGTTCCCTTCTGATCATTGAATAAGCTTCATTAGGCAAACTTCTTCACTTCACAATGTTTTACATGCCTGGTTGTCTTCATGAGATGTGCAGTTATCTGTTTCACTGTAATCATTGAGATGGACTCTCCTTTTCTCTTTTTGAAGTATTCTGTGAACATCATCTTCCAGCCTGTTGAAAAACTTTCCATCGTGCAACGAAGACTGAGAAGCGTTCACTTCCTGTCAAAAGTAAGTACAATAACATACCTTCCTTTACATAAAAGTTAATACTGAGCTAGAAATCAGCATGTTTAAAAAATAGCATAAGTCATGGAAAAGCATTATATCTAGATAACTATATAAGTTGTGTATTTCGAAGAATACTGTGACTTCCATTGAAAGAGTATGATACCAATTGAAAAGCCTAGAAATTAATTAAGTTAACATTTAGCTGATGATGAGATTACACAAAAGCATGAAGTTGGAATTTAGTTATTTATTTTTTATTTCATTGTTAAAAAACTCTTTCCTCTAAGAATTTTAGTATTTGTGGACTGCACCACAACATTTGTGGACCACCACAACATCACAGTTCTTTCTTACCTTCTGCTTCTCTTTTTTACTACAATTTGTAATTTTTAACATGCTTTTAAATCTGCAAGTTGCATCAAAGACGATGTGAAAACTGAAGAAGCATGGAGTAGTTCTAAGAAGGCCAATAATAAGTTCTCAAGATGCAAGAACTGGGGATATACATTCCTATTGAATCTGTATCTAAAGATTTTCCAAACTGATATCAGTCAGTTCTAGAATGTGTAGTTGATTGTCACTACGGAAAGCACCAAAACAATTACTTTCTAAACCTAAGAACTGTAGTTGTGGTTTGTTTGTTTGTTTGTTTTGGGTTGGGGTTTTTTTGTTTCTTTTGTTTATTTTTAATTAAAACTAATCTGAATAAGACTTACCTCGTGTTTTTTAGCAGGGTTATCTGAAAAGAACAGAAAAAAAAATGACATCAGTAAATTACTCAAATCTTTTACAGATGGCTACTGAAACAAGACATTTTGAAAAGTGGGGGAAAACACCACTTATTTGAGTACTTCAAAATTAACTCCTCTCTCAAAAGTCACAATTACAAGTCATTACTAAAGTACTTGAGGCCAAGATTATAAACTATGTATTATACCAATCCTGTATTTGCATCTTCTCAGAGAACTTTCAGACTATTTAATCAAAGGCAGCATCCCATATTTGTTTCCTTCAGTTAAAATGGAAGGCAATGTCTTTGGTACAGACACTCAAGGAATTTGTTGATTTGTTTCTTTTTATGTCTATTTAGACTTTTACAGCACATTATCTCACTGTATACCTGAATGCCTTCCATGCCTTTCAGATTGCTGTGCTTTCAGTACTTTTCCTCTGTTCAGATTATTTGGAAATTATGTGCTTAACTATTGTAGGTCTGGATAAAAACATCCTTAAAATAAAAACCTCAGAAAACAAATTACTTTGTTCTTTTTCTAGTATCTACCTTCATTTCTTCACTAAAGCTCAGAATCTCTGCTCTACAGACACAGAGGAAGGAATTTCAAACATATAAATCATGCACATAATGAGTGTAAGTTATTTCAGTATTTACTCATCTTAATAATAGCCAGTATCGCAAAGAAAGGTAAAAAATGTCTTGCTGTTACCCAGCAAATGGACAAACTCAGTTGCCAGAGGAATGCAAGCTTAGTAAAACAAAGAGAAAAACCCATGTAGATTTTTAAAAGTCAAATTAAGGGTGTTTGAGTCCATCCCAGGGGTACTACATGAAATTATGTTTTCCTTAAGCTCTTATTTTCATTATTATATAATGAACACTTAGCTTTTAGACTCTGTAGGACACACTGACTGCAAGTCACTTAGTGTTTATTTAACCACAGTGTTAATGGAGAGAGACAGAAAGGCATTTTCCTGTTAGCACACACACTGAAAATTCCAAGTAGAACAGCTCATATGGTATGATAAGGCATACCTATATTACTGTCTGACTGAAAGTCTTTCAGAGACACAGTGAGAGGTTTGTCTTTTCCTTGCTGGTTCTTTTTCTCTTTCTTATTCACAGACTTTGACTGAGGTGAAGTACTTTCAACGTTTTCATACACCTAGAAGAATAAAGTCCCACTGGTATAATTTTCTTCAATACCCAAAAATTTTTTCTGATTCTTTATAAAGGAAAAAAAAATACTGATAATGTACTAAAGGAGATTTTAGCCTGAACAGTAATTTGCAGGCTTCAGATGCATTTAAAGAATGCAAAACGTATCAGCAGTAAAGCATAGATTCTATTCTCTGAAGTAGAGCATTGCTCTTCACTAAACAGCAGATGAACTACCAGCCTAATACTTGAACCACCTACACCAAATTTTATCCAGACACTTAAAAACTGAAAATATCTGGTAGTCAAATGTAGGAAGGCTGTGTGCTACACAAGGCAGGGTAGTACTTTCTTAAACGCACCCACACAAAACTCCAGCAACAGTGGTTTATTGTACCTTCTTTTATTCTCAAAATATGTTTTCTCATTCAGTAGAAGTCAGAGAGCCATTAGTGTGCAGCAATGCTCTACCAATTGACTTTACTGCTATTGAAATCAGACAGCCTGGTACATGACAGCCATTTGAACCAGAGTTCCCCATCCCCACACATCCACATTAACATTCTTAGCAAATTACCAATCTCCCAGTTATTAAAAATAATCTTAAATACTAATTAAATATTTTCATTAAAAATAATCTTAAATGTTAAATAATCTTAAGAAAAAAGATATATAGGAGCAAATACGGAAATTAAGTGCTTTTCTTTCCATAGAAACAAGACTTGTTCAATGTACTCATGTACTGTATATTTTTAATATATGCATCTTCAATTATTGAGAGGTAATTCTCAAAAATCTACAAACAATGCTATGCTACTACTCCTGAAGATTGTCCTCACTTTAAAAATTAACTTTTAGTATGTAAGCTAAAAATTTATCCTTAGTTTTCAAAAACTGTGGTACTCTCCCCTCGAAAAAGAAATACTGCACAGCAATATTTGCAGAGATAAGCAATTTTTTCTTTATGATGCGTAATTATTTTTAAATTCAGATATTTTAATAACATTTCATTGGCTTCTGATTTATTTCAAATGAGCAACTTCCTGATAGAAAGAAATATTTCATCTAACCATACTTCAGTACAATTCTTCAGTGTTCCATAGGAACCACTGAGAAAACAGCATCCTGATCAGCAAAGAAAATGTGTAATGCTTATTAGGACTAAAGTATTTACACTCAAAACAGAGACAAGATGTTAACAAAAATGCAAATGATTCAACCATAAATAATACTTTAAGGCCTGAGAAGTCTGTGCTTTGCTTCTCCTACTCTTCAAGTGTGCTGGCTCTTTTCTAAGGAAGGTCAAGATCCCTTATGTACTTGTAAAAAATTCCAGCGCATTCATGTGACAGAAAATTGAAAAGCAGAACTAGTTTTCCACCTTTACAGACTAATTAAGAACAAACCAAACCACCAAATACTATTATATATGGTTTCTTTTAAATCCAGTATTTCTCTGAACTCTTAAGCATCTGAACAGTGTTAGTAAACAATTTAGACGAAGAAAATGGTACCTTTAGGTTTTTTGCCCCCCTTCCCCCACCCTTTTTTTTTCAATTTAAACCTCATACCAGTATAATTTTTACATTAGGATGAATCCCACAAATACCTTTTTGTGTTCTTCGTATTCCAGTTTGCTTAGCAGCAATGCTTTTTCAAGATCAGCTTCAAACATGTCAGTTGTCAGCTGAAGAAACAAAATTAACATATTTCATCTAATTAGGTTGTTTAAAAAAAAAAAAAAAAAGCAGACAAAACCACTAAGACCACGCTAAAATTTCAGTTTCAATACACATACCACTACAATTGCCAAAAAGCAAAGTCTCACTGATGCAACATACGGTATTATTAATTGGTAATATATCTTTTTGTACCATAAGTAATAAAATATCTTGCTTCAGGAAACTTTGTGATGGATGGAAGCATACAGTAAGTTGTGCACATCTTTATGTAATGGTTCCCCATCCTGATGATTTATTTACACAGGATTTCTTCAATATAGTTTTTTAGTTTGAAACATGAAAACCAGAAGATGACAAAGGATGAAAATGCCATTGTAGCCTACTACGAAGTCTAAGCACTCATCCATTACAGTGAAAAAATTAGGTTAAACATGCCTTTTTCTGGGGGACAGGGAGGGAGATGCAAAGAAAATTTGAAGCTTTCTTGGTGTGAGCTGTTAAGTACTAGGAACAACACAACAGGAATTAAGGACATCTTTTTTCTTGTGTTACAGGAAATCACAGAAAAGTCCTGCTCCTGAGAAGACCAATTCCAGCAACAGTTCAGTGGAGCCAAAATTAATAATGTAAAGGTATAAACAGCTAATAACCTATGTTATTGTTTAAGGCAAAGTTTTAACCAAGATTAACTTGTTGAATGCAAAACTCTGGTTCCTTTGAGGTCTGGTCTCTTAAGGAATCACTACAATCCACTGTGTGATATGAAGAAGAATAAGGCTTCCATTTGCCAGCACAGTTATCCCTTTTTCTTGCCCTTAAAGTAATTAGTAAAAATAATTACTTTAACCATCATTTTCTTGCTCTTTGCATGTCAAGTTGAGGTCCTTTCATCCATTCCAACATAAACTACAATAGCTATTATTATAGCTATTATTATTATTCAGTGGTCTTAATGTACTTTGCTCAATCTGGGCTGCACGACATACGCTACCTTTTTTGTCTATAGGAATCATGTTCTGAAAAAAACTCTAAAAGTTCTCATATGCTTTATATATGCTTGTAAGTGATTTTTTTTTTGTATGGTGTAAAACCACACACATTCTTCCTAAGTGTTCAACAATTCATAAGATCAGTCTCACTTAAGAGAAAACCTGAGTACTTTCTACCACAATAAACCAGCCCTTTTTGAGTGGTTATTTGAAACACAGTAGAATAGTGCTCTCAGCATAAATTGCTATGTTTTACATAGACTTTGGGGTGCTATCATCCCTAGCTTTGCATCTGGCTTGTGGTTTAAGCTTACCATTGACTGATTGCACAAGGCCTCACTGGCAAGGTTCTCCTAAGCAGGGGAGGAGTGGGAGAGCCAAGGACGCACCACAGCAGCCAGGCTGCAGGCACCTCAGAACCCTAAAGGGCTGCATGCACAAGCAGCAAGGCAGGAGCAGCAGCTGGCAGTGATGACCTTCACCAGAGCAGTGCCCGGACACCTGTGCCGCCTGCAGCGAGGGGACCGGACAACAAAGAGGAGGTTTTTGCAGTGGCCAGGGTGGACTTTTTCCTTAAGTGTTTGTTTTCTTTCAGTATCAGAATCAGTATTTAGAGGTTTGATAACTGACAGTAAGTTAAACTGACTGGAATTCCTCAAAAACCAATAAACTACTTTTGCCCACAACTGTTGAATCCAACCTGACAATGAGAGTTATCTACCAAAAATTAGGCCTTGTAGTCTACTACACTGGAAACTCAACAGGAACATGATGAAAAAAGGAGAGGCTGGGGATTAAAAAAAATTGACTATCAAAAAGAGAACCACCAATAAGATAAACTCACAAGAAAGATGAGAGAAGGAATTTTACCTCTGAAAGTGCTAATTTTGCATGTAAGCTCCTACATAATTAAAGAATTAGTACTATCACAATGTTGTTTTAACTATTAAGCAATTGCACAAAAACTGCATTATGTGATCTCCAGTGCAGCAGTAACCCTATCATAATTTGCTTACCTAGCAGTCATTCACTTCTGGGCAAGGCTGACTGTTTGAAGCTGGCCATACAAAGGTCAGTACTACACAACAGTGGAGTTTAGAGCATTAGGCCTGAATATTCACAAAGCCTCCTAGTTTCCCAGGAATATTTAGTCCTGCTTCTGTGCATGGCCTGACTAGGAATAGATAGCTATAGGCTCACAACCACTTAAACCCATCAAAAAATCTAGAAATCACAGGTTCCCTTTGCTTAGGTACTGGTCTAATAGTTCTAAGAAATTGAGATCTATGCACAAATCCCTTACAGTGACTCTCTTAAAAGCTTTTCTGAAGAAAGACCATGCTATATACATAATAGCTCTACAGCTAAAGACAAATATTGACAATCCTTTAAAAGGAAAGTGCAAGGCAGTATGGTAATTTTGATCGTAAATATGAAAAAAGGAACTCTTCTTTAACTGGGAGGTGCTCTTTGTGGAGCTGACCTCTGTGGAAACAAGGAGACCCTGCTTCTAACCCCTTGCTGAATATCACTATCCCCTGCAGTATACCATTTAAAAGTTACCTCGTAATTATCAACATTGTATTACTGGACAAGGGACACTAAGGAACTGTGAGGCCAGGATTTCATGCCTTCTGAACTTGAAGAATTCAGTCTCATGTCTCTCTTTTCAGATAAGCATGTGCCAGTTGCAGCTTGAACCTACCTGCCACTCAGTTTCTCCAGCTCGGAGAAGAGATGCTTTTATTAAGTCACAGATGTCTTTAGAATGGTACCTATCATATGCTAGAATTATGGTAATTGCTCTAAAGTTATTTTTAAAATAAAAGAACCTTATGGTAACTTGACAGCCTATAAATCTGTAAGATTGCAATTAGTAAGAATAGATGTTTATAACTGAGTTGTAACTCAGATTGCAATTAGTTATAATAGACATTTATAACTTTGCCTGACCATTTCACCACCTTCATTCATTCCTCATTAATGCTTCATACCACATAAAAAAAAGCCCTGCAACTACTGCACTAAGCAAACCCATACCTTAAAAAGTAGTTCTGAAGTTAATCAGCTCTGGAAATTCTCAATGACCTTATTAGGTCATTGCTCCACTGTCTAAGGAGACACCTATACCAAAGCATTAGCAACACTCACAAAATAAAAAACCAAAAAGCAAACCAAAAGACAAAAAAACCCCAAAAAACAAACCAACAAACCAAGCCAAACCAATGACAATATCTAAATGTTAGTCTTTCATCAATTTAGCTTTCTGTATCATGTGTTAATTAGAACAAGAAGTAGTTCAATACCATCTTTTTTGTGAGACAAGTTTAAAGTTCCTCTGTAAAAGAAAATAACATCCTAGTACATGCCAGGACAGAAGTTCAACTGCTTCATGGAACACTTAACTCCAGTTGGTGACACTTACTAGCAACTTGCCTTCAAAAAGTTTGTGCAAAGTTGCATACTCCGAAGGGAATCTTCAAGCATAACGGAAGAGTCCAAACTATTATCCACAGTAAATAAGTGCAGAGCAGACAGTAATTTAGAAGGAATTTAGAAAAAAGTGTACCACAACATTTCCTTAAGCACTATCTGAAAAAATGCACTAGAACAAATTCTTTCTTTGTCCATGTATGCTATTTTGGCCTGAAATAGTTGAGTACTGCAAACAGTTCACAACATTCTCATAATTTAAAAGAAAATCACTGTATGCCCTTCAGTATCAAAAAGGAGTATTATAATGCTGAATTCAAGTCAAGAACCAAAAAGCCTAGTTTTAAGAGTATGTACTCTTCCTAACTGACGTCACAAGCGCAAATTATTGTAATTGTTCAAGGTAAGGACTTGATTACTGTTTCCGATTAAGTGCATTTCACAGTGTAATTTGTTTGTGGTAGTTTGGGAAAATAAAACACAGTAAAAGCATTTTATTTGCCTTCATACAGACACAGTCAGCCTTTGCTTTCTCGCTATTGTATTCTTCAAGTACTAATGAACCCTACCTACAGTATTAATTGCAATGAAGATGTTCTAACATAAAAAAACAGAGGTTCTTGCACTGATAGAAGTACTTGAATAGCATGCTGAAGGACAGTCAGCACTCAGTTCTTTGTTACCTAGAAAGGAGCTAGTTATTTCATGCCTAGCAAAACTTACCAAGCCTATTTTACTATGGATCTGTAATGTATATCCATATATTGCTCCACCAAAACTTCCTCAGTTTTCCTCCCACCACAGCATTTCACCATCCTTCCATGGTAGTATGTCTACCTGTTGTCCAAATTATGTAAATTCCTTTTACCATACACCAGTATTCACAGTCCAGCTATGAGGTATGCAAACAGCAGCCTGTGCTGGCTCTAAACTGTATCTGACAGAAGATGTGGCCTGAATTTCCACTGAAATCTTTCCTTCTATGTGGCAATATCTTGTTGCTTCCTCTCCAGCCATCTCTCTTTCTCCATGAGACTTATCTTCATGGAGTAACGTATTTCAGGAAAGCCAAAGACAGCTAAACACAGCAAGGTGTACCTGCTCATCTCTTTGTCTCCATTCCTGCCAGTTTTCTTCCCGAGTGCTCTTCTGCACTGCAGTGTTCAGTTTTTGTTCATGCTGAGATAAACAGCCTCCATGTGAGGATTTCTGAGGAATCTTTTTAAAAGCAAGGTTTCTGAGCTGAAAACCAGTTATTTTTAACATTAGTACACAGAAACAGTCTTAATGGACCAACAAAGGCATTCAGACATTAATGTGTGTGCTTTACCTTAGTGAATGTATCCCAAACCTGTAATTTGGGATACATTTTTGTTTAATCATTTAAGGTACACACCGTAATGTCAAATCATGGAAAAATGTGGATCAGAAGCACCACAGACGTAACACAAACCAATGAAAAAGTAAATATATTTTGCTATCTGAAAATACTTTCAACAAATCTGAAGAGAAAACTGTCTGACAGATTTCATACTGGATCAGGAACCATGGTGTGCTCACACTTGACTGAAGTTAAATATAATGCCAAGGAAAAGGCAGTATACATAAATCTGTCAGCAGCAAACAGAGGACCCAGAGGTTCAGGTAGAAAGAGAACAATACAGTCAGTCCTTAGTTCGTCAGATTTTAAGAACCTGCAAATAAGCATTATTTTTAACTGCTGCACCATATGGATGTAACAGTGCCATCTCAAAGATACCTTACAAAATTATAAAATGTCAGTGTGAAAAAATAACCTGTAAATTTGGCAGTTGAAGGACATTGACTGCTCCAGCCTAAACATTAACTGACACTCTGGTGCTTACTTGGAGTGAAAATAAAAGCAGCAATACTATATGCTATCAGTTTAGAGACAGGATTTCCTTAACATAAAGGCTCCTGGAAGGGAGAAAGAAGCTATTATCAGATGACTGATGAAACAAAGAGAAATAAAGTACAACACTAGCATTCTCCTTAATGTGTGTTTATCAAGTGTCATGACTCCTTCTTAAAATGGCAGATCACCTTAACTTAAAGTTACTCAAAATCAGGCAATAATGCAGATATCTCAGAATTGTTTTCCTTCCCCTCAAAACAGTCCCTTGCCATACTGCCTCTTGTGCATCACTACTGTCTCTTTTGCTGCCTGCACCAGCACTATAACCCCTGCTTTCTTCTTCAGATGGAAGTGCTGGCAAAAACACTGGTGCAGACCATTCTGATTTACAATTTCAGTGGAGTATAGCTACAGACAGTACATGCTAAGGTGAAATAAAAACTCGGCCCTTGCCTCTCAGCCATCACGAGAGTAAGTATTATTTCTGTACAATGTGTATCTGTAGATACATGCAATGCATATGCATACACACAGTTATTCTGACAGGGTTAAGAAGTTTTGGTCATATTAAGGCAGGCATAAAGAAACATTAGGGTACGCTTATCAAAAACTTAATCTTCAATGTAAAAATAACATCAAAGCTGGAAACAAAAACACTTCACTTAGCACTACTGCAACTATGAAAATTTTAAAGATTTTAAGCTTAACAGATACTAAAAAGAAAAAAGATAGATTTGGGGGTTTTGGTTGTTTTACCTACTGAATATGGTAATTGCTAAAAAAACCTGAGCAATTTAACTCATTAGAATTTTTCACCTTGTATACTAGGAAGCATACTAGTTATAAATTCTTAATGAAGCAAAGAAAAAAATGCTGTCCCTTTGACTCAGTAGCATTTGTTCCATTAAAAAAAAAAAAAAAAAAAAGGGAACAAAAACCTACACAAACCCATGACTTGTTGGGAGACAGCAAAAGTTATGTCTCAGATAACAGCCTCACCCACTACTGAAAATATAATCCCTTTACCTCATTGGCCTCACTCTGCTGCTGTTCTTTCTTTTTTCTTCTTTTATTTCTTTTTTTCTCATTTGCAGATTGTCTTCCCCCTGAAGCCTGAGATTTACTGGCACCTCGGCCACCTTTTCCTTTTCCAGGCTCTGAATCAGTATCACTTAGGACTTGTAGTAAAGCAAAACGAGATGCAGTGGTAGGAACTGAACTGATTACAGTAGATGCCATTGCCACATCTGAAATCCTATTAAGCTGGCTTCTTCTTAGCTACTAGGTTTCCTAGGAAAGTAGCACAGAAATAAGAATGAAAACAGTGTTTGACCAAACAATCGGTAATTCATATCTGATAGCTGCAGGATTAGTTTAAAAAAAAAAAAAACCAAACCAAAACAAAACCCAAACAAAACCACAAACCCACACCCAAACTCTGTATTATTTCTTTATATTTTTGCTAAACTGTATTATCTTAAGAATTCAAAAAATAACTACAAAATAATAACCTATAAAACAACAGTTATTTATAGCTAATATATTTGTGCCTGAGAGATAATGTTTGATAGAAAAAAGTAGTATAAGGCCCTGAAAGAAGCTGGCCTTCATGACCTGGAGAGGAAAAAAGGGGGGGGGGGGGAAACAACAACAAAACAAAACCACACAAGAAAACAAATCAACCAACCCCAAACAAACAAAAAAAACAAAAACCCTCCAAAACAAATCACCAAACCAACCAGAAGTAGTGTCATGCTCCAAAACTATTTCAGATGCCATCTCTGGAGCCTGACAAACATAAGATTTGAGAAGGAAGGCAAGTAGATATGCATATGCAGGCTCCAGTTTTTGGTAAGCAGCCTTATCTTTTATTCCACAGGTAGTATCACTTTGTTCCCAAGCCACAGGGGATTCAACAAGCAATTTTCTCCACAGGAAGGTAAGCCCAGCATTGTGGCTGATGCTGTTCTCAAACAGCTGTTCTTACTGCACAATACAGAGAATCTGTTGTGGGAAGTGGGAAACACACACCTTATGTTGCCCCCTGTAGGTATAGCCAATCTGTAGATCCCCATGACACCATTCCAAAGTGCAAATCATTTATCTAGTGTAAAAGTTTGGGGGGGGGGGGGGGAGGGGAGGGGAAGGAGGAAAGGGTGGCTTAAGAATATTTGGCTAATAGCAGTTTTTCCAAGCAAAGTTTAATAAATCAGAAGATTGAAAGTGATGTTATTTCATCAATGATTCTAAATTTCACAGACAGCATCTAGCTATGTTGGCATACTACGATAGACAGATGTAGTGAAATAATACATACTTTTTGAAAGTACCATTTGAAAGGAATCCTTACAGTTTTGCAACTGTGAACATAAGTTGAATTTCTGCTTAGATGGTCTACAAATGTGTTGCTTGTTAACTGCTATTACAGAACAACACAATCTACAGAAACTTCACTAAATTGTTTTTATGACTTTCTCAAGGACAAACCTGTATAGGTCCAAGAGGAGTATTTATTACATTTTCTTTCTCTAAGGTGAAAGTGAATGAGCAAGTAAGCTAATACTGTCCTTATTCAAGTCAACTGAAGACAAAGGTTACAGTGAACAGCTTTCTTCTCATACAAAGGTACCCTACTTCATTTCTCTCAAAAATATGAAAATAAAGCTGATTGTATGAAGCTTGTTGCATCTTAAGAATAAAACAAAGTTCACATCAGATTTCGAATCTACCCGATGCCAATATTAAGATGACAACCAAAGATCTAAAAAACCCCCACATCAGTCACATCTAAAACACCACAAGTAATTAGTACTTGTTACTCTTTAAGTGATTAAATAACAGCATAAGCTTAGATTTTCCTGGGTGTGTATGTTTTTAATTGCATTTTACTACTCAATAACTACAATTATCCTGCTTAGGAGCTAAGATCACTTGCAGCAGAGAGATACTGTGTTCTTACTACTTGAATATATGCTAAGCTGAAACCTGAAACTCAAAGACTAAAGATACATCTTCACAGGAAAATGGCACCAAAAGGTAAGTACCCAGTCACGCTACAACATGATTTTACAATACTGGATGATGTTCTTGGCACTACACCAGACTACAAAAGTCGTAACACTGGAAGTTTGTAAAACCTGCTTTTTCTCAAAAAAACCCAAACAAACAAACAAACAAAAAAAACAACCACAAAAACCAAAACAAAACAAAAAACCCTGCGCTACAGGATTACTCTAGTCAGTCAGAAGATTGGCATTTCTAGTCTCAAGCTACTTATTTGGAGTTTCAGCACAACATATTAAGTTGTCAGCTGCTAATGGTGCCAAATACTGCTTTTGCCCACAATTTGAAAGCATTTCATATTTTCAAGCTGCAGTGATAGAACATGTGATAAAGAAAGATGAAAAGAGGCTGTATTCAGCTATAGCAGCTGAAGCTGTACATCACTATGAAATAGATGGCTGCAAATTCATCCCTCCCTTTTCAACAGATAGAAGAAAAATGCAACAGGTATATTTTTGCTGTCTGTCTGTACTTGGTATACAATGAAGTGCCTAGGTGACAAGCATATTAAGCAAGTACTACCCATGGATCTCTGCTGTTACAGTTCACTGAAATACTTCTTTGTGAGAAGAGTTCCTAAACCAAAATGACATATTATTCAGACTGATATATCAACAATGTAAGATAAGCTTGATGTACTATATAATTTCAAGGCAGCATGAAGGCATTTCTTATGACCAACAAGTAGTAATTTTTTTGGTGCCCTACTCCTTCCCAGGTTATACTCTTCTACAGATCATGGCAGCTTACATGAACAGATTATCTTCTAATGTTATACTAAATCAATAGCTTATCCCAAGTTGGCCTCACTTATGAAAAAAGTTATGTATTGCTTTAGCATATCCAATGCAGCAATCTGTAAGCACAAAGTACTTACCCTACCTTAAGTTCCTGGTAAACCAGGAGTTATATTTAGAAAGCAAAACTGTGACGTGACCAAAAAGGGATCTTTTTAACTTCAGTTCCCTGAAACGTACTAAGTACATTCGGAAGTGTAAGATCCATCAATGCCCTGAAAAGCTTCAGTCTCATTTTAGACATCATGTAATGAAGATTGCAGTAATAAAAATAACACTCATCTGGTCTTACTGTAACCTGAAATCGCTTTTGTATCAGTTACTTAGTTACCCACATGTTGCAGGTGAAACAGCTTTCGAAATACTGAAGTTTTTAAAGCTCTACTGTAACTGTGCTATAGTATACTAAGAAGAGTTTAGCTCACATCCACAAGCTTATCTTGTTTGAGCATCAGCAGCTTCCTGGCCTGTGTGCAGCTTTGCACACATGCGTGAGTTACCATTTGACCGGCAGTACTGAAGCACCTCTAAGAAGTGAGCAGTGCAGGGCAATTTAGGAACCTCTAGTCTGATGCTAGTAGTACACCTTCAAGCATCTGTGAAATAACCACATAGCTTTAAATGTGGGGCTTTACTTTTTCACGGAAAACACGCTCAAGAGCCCAGAAATATAACCCATTTCCTATTTAATCACTTTCATTGTCAAGTAAACTGCTAGTAAAGATACGGATTGTAGAACACTCTTTAAATAGGGTATTACCATGCTAAAGCTTCTTCCCACATACAATCAACTTGTTTCTGCTACTAAAGTACATATTTATTATAATCTACAATCAAGATATGCTCTCCAGTACTTGCTTGTAAAGTTGAAGTAACACTAAAGTACACAATATACATTTGTAAGTGAAGGAATTCCCCTCTGGCCCCAAACAACCTCTGCACTTTCTACACTGTACGTACTGATCTTTTATACACTTACCACAGCAAGCTACCGACTTTTCCACTAAGGAAAAGGTGCGTTTACAGAAGTTTTGCACAGGAGGTCCTCCCAGTTGGCAAAGCTCTGTCCATTTCAATTGCTTTTGTTTTATGCTTCTGACAGAAAGCTATAAAGCTGCATAAAATTGCTCGAAAACCTTACATTTACTTGATGTCAACTCATGAGTTCAAGTCATCAGCTCATCTTTGAGTTTCATAAGTAACTTGACAGCCAAAACCAAAACAAAACAAAAAAAAAAAACAACCCCTAAATACTGCTTTAGAAATCTACTTGAGAGTTGCAGCACTGGCATAAACAACAGCAATAAACCCATGGAAAGTAAAGGGTCTTACACAGCTTGAAAGGGGAATATGGTGAATTTACTGCTGTGCTTTGCAAAAACTTAATGTTTATGAGAAAGAACTGGCCCTAAAGCATTCTTTTAAACTCAGGATTAAAACGTAAGACTGACCAGGTAAATCTGACTTTGTCAGTCAGCATCCTATGCTCAGACAAATGTAACCTCCCTTGCTTTTCCTCCTCTGATACCCTCCCCCTCCAAAAAAAAAAAAAAAACCTGCAATGCCAAAACTTTTCATATTGTCTCTTCTTCAAATATTCCCTCTACGTAGGGAACACATTACAAAAGCTTAAATTATGTCCTTACAAAAAAAAAAAAACCCAAAAAAAAAACCAAACCAGAAAAGTTAAAGGAAGCTAGTTAAGCTTTATCTAACAAACTCTGAAATTTCACATTCATTTTGGAGACCTTAGAGCAGCTTCCAGTCCTAAAGGGGGCTTACAAGAAAGGGAGAGGGACTTTTTACAAGGACCTGTAGTGACAGGACAAGGGGAAATGGCTTTAAACTGACAGGTGGGAGATTCTGACTAGCTATTAGGAAGAAGTTCTTCCCTGTGAGGGTGGGGAGGCCCTGGGCCA